GATCTTCCCAGACCAGGGCTTGAACCCGTGTCCCCTCCATTGGCAGGCGGATTCCTAACCACTGCGTCACCAGGCTAGCCCCTAAATTAATTAATTTTTTAAAAATGTTAATGTTCAATCTATTATATGTTTTTATTCAAGGACAATGGCTCAGATAAACATTGTTGAACATGGAAGACACCAGGGAATATAGTTCTTATGAACCCTACCTAGAGGATAGACTTCAGCTTAGCAGAAACTATAGCACAAAGCCTGGAGGTGAGCTTTGAATCCATTTAACTATAGAACTAAGATTTTTTTTAAAAGGTTATGATAGCAGAACAGGTTATGAATATTACGAATACTGACAATATACATATTTTTTAAAAACCACGTTGCTTTTATTCATGAAATAATCGCTATAAGTAAACACCACCAGAGTAGTTAGCCAACAATTCACAAACTTTATAAACATATCTCATTTACTTCTTGTAAAGCCCTCAGATTTAATGAATGATACTCCAGTGTTTCCATCAAGTTACAAGATGAAATGATTCTTTGATGTCTTATGCTTCAAGTCTGTCTTTCTGGAAGGTTTGTTTTGGGTGTTTAGTTGGTTTTATTGTTGTGGTTGGTTGGTTTGTCTTATAAAATGAAGGTGTGATATGAGCAAGTATCACAAGCCTTCTGGAAAGAGACTACTCTTGGTCCTAGAAGTTTCTTTGGGAAGAATCCGGCAATCTAAGAATTGAAGATTGTGAAAACTTCTTTCATCATTCAAACCACAGCTGACTCTGGTCGTATTGGAAGTCTCCCTCTCTGGATGCCTTTTTATAGTGGTCTTCATATATCAGCTTTCTTCTGAGTAACTGTGAACCTGGGAATGAACTCCATTCACACTTAAATGTGAATTAAGTCAAAGCTATTCAAGCTTCTCACACGGTGTCTAACCTTAGAAACATTATGTAATTTGCATCATCACTAACGGCCCCAGCAGCTGCTCTTCTTTTCCTTATTCTTTCTTTTTTTTTTTTTTGGCCACGCCGCACAGCATGCAGGATCTTAGTTCCCCGACCAGGGATCGAACCCATGCCCCCTGCAGTGGAAACGCAGAGTCTTAACCACTAGACCACCAGGGAAATCCTTCTTTTCCTTATTCTTGAAAATTATTTGTACCACTGAAACAGAGACATGTGGAAGTTAGACATCTCTGTTTCTCTGGCCAACTTCAATTTACACTCAGAGGAAATATTTTTCTCTCTTTTGGTGTCACAACTTCATTTAATTCTTATCATGCATCATTTATTCTGGCTTAGGGATTGTGGTGCTATAAATGATAATACAAATGAGACTTTAAGCAGGGCATGCTCAGTAGCTAAAATGCCTTGTTTGGCTGTTTACTGTAGTAGTCTCTAAACGGTTTTTAATCGCAATCCTGGGAAGTACAAGATTTGTGGGCATATGAATATATTTATGTATAGATTATACGGACATGTGCCACAATATTAATATGTTATGTTCATTATAAAATGTAATACAGAAATTTCTAAGTAATTAAAGGTAAAAACATTTTATTCATTAATGGCAAATGACTTTTTGCCATCACTTGAAATTATTAATAACATCTAACAAGAACAATGTGATTTCACATACTTTATTATTTCTGAACATCTCGGTTGAATCCTTTGTGATTCAGCAATTTGAAGTTCAGTTTGTTTTACTATTTGGTCTTAACGGCTGTCAGAGAGACCTCACAAAGGTATGTAGATCTAAATGGGAAAAGGGTATCATGACACCGAATCCCTGTTTTTAATTCCATCCTCTGATAATGAAAAAGCTTAAGGGTTTTTTTTTTAAATTAGTTTGTTGGTATTGTTAATTGAAATTCAGCTAATAAATATCCATCACTCCTGATACCAATTAGTTGCTCTTGAAAACTTATCAAAGCTACCGAATTTTTATACTTTTAAAAACTGTGCTCTCAAACCACTGAAACTTTTCTTTTGAATTTTTATTTTATTTATTTATTTATTATTATTATTATTATTTTTAGAGGATGATTAATAAATTTTATGGATTATCTGGGCAGTTATGTGATTAAAAATAAAATAGTTTACATTTATTGAGTTCCTACTGTTTACCAGAAACTGTTCTAAGAGTTTTATTTACTTTATAATAAAAATAAGCTCTTATGAGTTTACTTTAAATATTTTACATTTTTTTAAACATCTTTATTGGAGTATAATTGCTTTCCAATGGTGTGTTAGTTTCTACTTTATAACAAAGTGAATCAGTTATACATATACATATGTTCCCATATCTCTTCCCTCTTGCGTCTCCCTCCCTCCCACCCTCCCTATCCCACCCCTCTAGGTGGTCACAAACCACTGAGCTGATCTCCCTGTGCTGTGCGGCTGCTTCCCACTAGCTATCTATTTTACGTTTGGTAGTATATATATGTCCATGCCACTCTCTCACTTTGTCACAGCTTACCCTTCCCCCTCCCCATATCCTCAAGTCCATTCTCTAGTAGGTCTGTGTCTTTATTCCCGTCTTGCTCCTAGGTTCTTCATGACTTTTTTTTTTTTCTTAAACCACTGAAACTTTGTACGACTTTTTTCACCAGATTAGAACATTCCATTTTTAACTTATTAAACATGCAGGTATGAAGGTTTCAATAGGCGTACACATTTTTTAAAACAGAATCACATTGCCAAATGTCTATTTTCAAAAATGCTCTCCCAATAACGTAGATTTCTTTTGAGAAGCAGTTACCTTCCCACTCACTGTTAAAAGACTGCTTCTATCTTGAATGGCTATATTTAAGTGGATTTTTCAAAATTATACATGTGGTACAAGGGGGCACCTCCTGAAACCATTTAACACAAAAAGGTCAGCAAATTTGGACACTTGTCTTTTTAAATTTTATTTATTTATTTTTGGCTGCATTAGGTCTTCATTGCTGTGCACGGGCTTTCTCTAGTTGCGGCGAGCGGGGGCTACTCTTTGTTGCGGTGCACGGGCTTCTCATTGCGGTGGCTTCTCCTGTTGTGGAGCACGGGCTCTAAGCACGCCAGCTTCAGTAGTTGTGGTGCGCAGGCTCAGTAGTTGTGGCTCGTGGGCTCTAGAGCACAGGCTCAGTAGTTGTGGTGCACGGGCTTAGTTGCTCCGCAGCATGTGGGATCTTCCCGGACCAGGGCTCGAACCCGTGTCCCCCACATTGGCAGAAGGATTCTTAACCACTGCGCCACCAGGGAAGACCGACACACGTCTTTTTGTAAAAGTAAAATGAAGTAATTCTTTTTGTGAAAAAACCACCAGCATGTGGTAGAAATACATTGACTTTGATTACTCTTCTCATCACAAAATGTGCACAAAGATGCTACTATATTTTAAAGGTCTTGATGTTCTGGAAACACCTAAGTAATACTGGCCTCAGGCACTTTGTCTGTGCCTGGCTTGAACTCCTTTGCTCTTCAATAGCTTGCTCAATAATCTGCTTGCAAATGATGCAGCAAAAGAATTTCATATATGTCACTGTTAATGACAGTGAGTGCAGATCTTTATTTCAAATAACCTGCTTGATAATTCCTACTGAGCAGGGCTGGCTTCCGGTCAGATTTCACGAAATTACTTTATCCACATGGGAACACCTGCCAGATGTCCCCCAGTATCTGTTCTCTCCTTCTTCCTCAGTATCAGAAACTCCATTTGAGTGCACATGACTGCCCAAAGCAGGGACTACATTTTCCAGACCCACCTCCCCCTTGTAGCTATTCGTGGCCTTGGAACTAAGTTTTGGTCACTGCGATGTAGGAAGAAATAATGGATAGCCTTAAAAGGAGGGGCATATCTTCTGCTCCCTTTTGGCCTACCTAGCTGGAATTCAGGTGTGATGGCTGAAACCTCGGGAGCCATCTTGAAGCAAGAGGGAGAAGCCAGATGCTGAGGCAGCCGAACAACAAGAGGGGAGGAATCTGGGTCCTTCACAGCTGTGCTGCCGTCAAGTCAGCCCTGGACTCTCCTGTGTTTACTGCTCTCTTTTTTGAGCTTTGTTGTTCTGGGTTTTCTGGCTCTTACTGCTGTATGAAACCCTAATTAACACACCTGGTAACAGGGTTGATGAGGAACTCATGTTAGCAGTCAGAGAAGAGGCAACTCTGCAATTTTCTCTGCAAGCATGTGCTTACACTATTCTTACTACTTTCAATCTGCAGTTCCCTAACGGAAACTGCTTTTAAGCCACTTGCCATTTTGTCAGAATTAGTTTATAAAGAAAACATAATATAGTCTTTAAATCTACTTTATCAGGTGTGTGTGAACTGCAACATGGGTCTATAACTTTGAAAACAAACGAAGGAGGGGCCACCACTGATCAACCCAACTCTACTCTCCAGACGACTCAAGGACCATTTGTAACCCATGTCTGATGTAATACAGACCATGGGAGAACACCAGCATCCATATTAAATATTAATAAAGCTTCGGGGGGGAGGTTGGTCAATACATAAATATACAAAGAAGTTCTACTTCCTTTCTGCTCCTCTCCACCCCTACTAACAAATGATTTTTGCACCTTCCTAGTATACAAGCACTCCACCCACTTTAGAGCCCACTGTCAAGGTGTAGATGGACTAATAGCTAACTATAAAATTCTCTCCTGGGGCTTCCCTGGTGGCACAGTGGTTGAGAGTCCGCCTGTCGATGCAGGGGACACGGGTTCGTGCCCCGGTCCGGGAAGATCCCACATGCCGCGGAGCAGCTGGGCCCGTGAGCCATGGCCGCTGAGCCTGAGCGTCCGGAGCCTGTGCTCCGCAATGGGAGAGGCCACAACAGCGAGAGGCCCGCGTACCGCAAAAAAAAAAAAAAATTCTCTCCTGGATCATGACAATATGCTGTGAGATGAAAATGTTTACTAGCGAAAAATAAGCATAAATGAGTGTTCTCCATAAAACTGAAAACTTGTAAAAGCAAATGGTAAATCAAGGGGTGGGTTATACATAAAGATTTTGGCACCTTACCTGAATACCTCGAGAATAATCCTTTCCGATAACTTGGGAGCCACCTGCTTAAATGCTTTCTTGAAATCTTCCAGAGTTAAATATCCATGATCTATTTGAAAACAGAATACATAATATTCACACACTTCTATCAGCCCCATGAACTGCTATTTCAGCCATAACATATGCATGAGACTTTAATCTATTAGTAGGAGAAAAGCAGTAAATTATAGTTGATTTTACATATAAGGTAATCTGAGATTGTCTTGTTGGAAGAATTTGAGAATCTAGTAATACTCTCCCTCAGTACAGCCCCAGATGCTCCTGCAGGTTTCTTCCAGCCCCATGATTTGCTGATTCCCTGAGTCCCAGGTAAAGGACTAAGGGACAGACACTGCAACAATGGCATTAGGCTTCAAGTCTTTGTGAATTGCCAAAATAATTCATTCTTCAAAATTCACATTTTTTTCTTGCTTGGTATTAGAACTATATTATTATTTAGAGGAAAACCATTACAGAAGCCAAAATACTGAACCTGGACTCCACAAGTCTTTCAACCCTGTGTTCTGTGGGGAGGGGGTCTGAAGCTACTCCTCTGGGCCACCCCAGCGTGGGAAAACAATTCCTCCAATTATGTGTGGGTCAAAGGAGGAGTCGGAAAAAAAGGCCTCATGTTCTCACAAACTTCCATAAGTAGCTCTTCACCTATATCCCCGCACGGCCAGCCCTTCTGTTGTCCCCATTACACTGCAGGCAAATCATAAGTATTGTATAATTATATAACTGTAGATATTATTTCACCCATCGTAAATGTCAAGAATTTAAGATTGTGATGGAGAAAAAAAAATGTACACCAACATCTAAGGTAATAGCTAACGAATACAGTAAAATAACCTTCCAAGTATATTATTTTAGTTACTGAGTATGTTCCCATTCACAGTTCCTTAACAGCCATTTCTTATATCAAAACACTTTAAAGATACTTACAGTGCCTGTCAAAAGCTGTGAAGATGTGTCTTATTTCATTCCGATATAGTTGAGCTTCCTTCTTTTTCCTTACAATGTCTAAAAACTCCTTAAGTAATATCCCTAAAAGTTGGAAAAAAACAATTTACTTTCTTCCTCTTTAAGAAGGAAACAAAACATAAACGGAAAGTGATACCACCACAAACAAATGTTATCTTAATTTTTGGTGAGTAGTATTTATTCATAAAGATCTCTAAAGTTGAAAAGACATTTCCTTAAAAGCTAAGTAGACTCCACATTAGCAATCGATGGCAAAAAGGATAGACACTTTCGGAGCTCACTGAGCTCTTCCCGGAGATAAAAGATGATGACCTCGAAAAAGTATGACACTCTTCCCTCTGACAGATCTAACAGACAGGCCCGAAACTACTTATAAAATAAGGTCTCATAATTTTCTTTCCTTATGCATCTTTGATCCCTTTTTTCCTAGCCAGATGTCATTACGACAGGTTTTTTTCCAGCTGGGAGATCGGGGCGAAGGAGTAGTTTCTCAAAAGTCAATACCAACTGCATACCGCAGATAAAGGTGGAGAGAACATTCCATAAACAATAGCGTTGGCACTGTCCCCAGCCTTAGCTACCTCCCATGACTGTTCTGTAGCCTCAGGCTCTGCTTCCTGTGATTCTCATAATAAAAGAGCCCAGCATGATCATATGAGATTGGATACTGTGCTTACAATGTCTATTAAAATGAATTCTAGGGCTTCCCTGGTGGTGCAGTGGTTGAGAGTCCGCCTGCCGATGCAGGGGACATGGGTTCATGCCCCGGTCCGGGAAGATCCCACATGCCGCGGAGCGGCTGGGCCCGTGAGCCATGGCCGTTGAGCCTGAGCATCCGGAGCCTGTGCTCCGCGACGGGAGAGGCCACAGCAGTGAGAGGCCCGCGTACCGCAAAAAAAAAGAATTCTAATGTGATCTTTGTAGTAGGTTTAAAGAATGCAGCCAAGAATTTAAACATTCTAGTGAACTGAGTCCTAAATATCTAAAAAGAGCAGTTCGTTTTTACAAGTCAGAATTTCCATTTAAAAATGTATCACTGTTTTAAAAATAGCCGCAAATCACACAATAACCACGTGCTAATTTTTAAGAACTTGCACCCTTTCCAAAAGGGAATATTTTGCTGAGGTATACTGAACTATACACATTTCCCGAAATAGTTCCGATGGTTTTTTAAAAAGTAGAAAATAGTTTTCTTAATTTTCCACATTTTTCTTACTTGTAGTTAAAGATTCAGAAATTTAAAAAGTCCATCTATCTTTATGTGTTTATAAATGATTCTCTTACAACTCTTTAGGACCCACTGGGTTCCAGGCACTGCATTAAGCTCTGGGAATAGAGGGGAAAAGAGAACACACACGATTCCAGTGCCAAGGGTCACTGGTCTAGTGACACAGACGGTGATGATACAGATTCAATGACAAACGTACACATAATTACAAACTGTGGCGTGCGCAACGAGGGGAAAACAGGAGGGTATAAAACGCGTCACAGAAATCCTCCCGTAGAGCAGACTCTGGGGAAGGAGAGATCTCACAGAGGAGGTAATAGATAGGCTAAGACCTAAATGATGAGAAGACACCAACTGGCTAAAGGTGGGAAGAAGAGCATTCCAGGCCGTGGAAAGAGCACGTGCCAAGGCCATGGGGTGGGGAGTGGGAGAAGTGAAAACAGGCCACAGTGGCTCGAATGCGGTGAAGATGGCGCTGGTGAGGTGGGCAGGGGCCCGAACGCATAGCCCCTCATGGGCCCCGGGAAATAATCTGATTTTTATTTCAGTTGCGATAGGAAGTCAATAAAGTTTGAACTGAGAAGTGACATGATCTGATTTAGATTTTGGAAAGATCTCTCTGGCTATTGTTTTGAAAAAGGACTGGGGAGATAGCAAAACATAAAAAAGGAGACTCGTTAGGATCCTACTGGCAAGAGATGTGGTCACGAGGGTGCGGGCAGCGGGAACGGAGGGCAGTGGAAGGTTCCAGACATACTGCAGAAAAGATGGAGGGTCAGACGTAGTGCAAGAGAAAGAAGATGTCAAGAATAAGCCCTAGGTTCTGGCTTGAGGACTAGGTGGTTTGAGGAGTCATTTAAAGAGATAAGAAAGACGGGGGGAAGCAGGATGGGGGTGGTGCTGAGATGGAGTTGCAATTTGGAGATGTAAGCTGTTTGAGGCTTCGGAGAAAACCAAGAGCAAGAGTCAAGAAAGCAGCAGCAGGCGTATCTCCTGGCACCTACCAGAGTGCTTGGCATGTGCTTGATAAATACGCATTGTATGAAATTAGCGTTTCCCCCATGGCAGTGGAGGATGTGCAGTGATGCAGCTCCATTCTCATTGGGTCCCATGGTAACTATTTGGCCACACGTCTGCCTGAGACACACTGAGGGAAAGGACTGCCTGTTGTCAAAATTTATCCACACAATATTCAAACCTAAAATTACCACTTCACAAAGACTTTCCATAATTCTACTGCCACCACATTTCATACGCAATGAGAAATGCATTACCTGTGTCCACCCCTGGAGTGAAAGTATGTTCAGAACATTCTAATTCCAAGCAGATACCTGCTTGTAGGAGGCATTCCTCACATGTTTGTTGAATAAGTAAATAAAATCATAGGAAGACGTTATTTCTAGTTTTCAGCAAAAAGCGTTAAAATGTGTTTTAAATGCTCTTATAACTGTAAATTAATGCCAAAAAGTAGGTCTCTATTTATTCACATATCCAGCAAAATCGTCATTTTAGAAACCCCAATTTCTTAATACCTATGACACAGTAAAAAACAAAATTCAGAGGAAAAGGAAATGAATACATAATATTTGTTCTTCGTTTAATTGCATCTGATTTCGGGAAATGGTAAGAAAAACAGCACAGTTCCGTGGTTCAATGTGTGATTCAGATTCACAAGAAAAAAAAAAGTGCATGAGTGGTGAATGATATATTTTAAACCACATATTCAGAAAACTCATCCGTATTTGGGTCTATAAAGTAGTCAGGTCTTTTTTTTTTTTTTTTTTTTTGCGGTACGCGGGCCTCTCACTGTTGTGGCCTCTCCCGTTGTGGAGCGCAAGCTCAGCGGCCATGGCTCACGGGCCCAGCCGCTCCGCGGCATGTGGGATCCTCCCAGACCAGGACACGAACCCGCATCCCCTGCATTGGCAGGCGGACTCTCAACCACTGCGCCACCAGGGAAGCCCAGTAGTCAGGTCTTTATTTCATATCTTGGGGGATAAAAAGCACATGTTCTTTAGTGTTCCCTAGGAGAAAATATATGTGGATTTCAACTATATGTTTATTACCATTTAAAAGGAAGAAACCATCTAATAATGCAAATAACTCTATTTACATAATCAAGTTCATTCACACTATTTTCCCACAGGCTCGGATACCTTATTTTTTAAAGTCAATATTAAACGACGTAAACATATCTCACTGCCCCATCCCCATCCCCTTGTCTTAATCTTCGATGGCAACACATCCAAATGCATTCAATACCATGCAAGTCCCTTTTCTAAAAAGGATAGAGAAGTTTCCATTCAGCTGAGCTCTCATGTTGTAGTAGTATGATCACTTTCCAAAGCCAAGGCATAAAAGGTTTGCTATTCCTACAGCTCTGTAATGCAAACACATTAATGTAAGTTTTATATGTTTTACTGCTGTTTAAATGGCCTAGAAATAGAGTTCCTACTACTAGCTCCACCTGCTGTCACAACATTCAAACCTAAAATTACCACTTCACAAAGACTTTCCATAATTCTACTGCCACCACATTTCATACACAATGAGAAATGCATTACCTGTTTCCACCCCTGGAGTGAAAGTATGTTCAGAACATTCTAATTCCAAATACGAGGTTGGGTCTTCTCTGTAAACTGTCCCAGCAATAAAAGTTACCTAAACACACTTTGCTGTAGCTAGACGTTGGGATCACAACAGGAACCACGTAGACCTATATGTTTATCTGTGTTCATTATTAATCTGCAGAAGGTGTTTAGAAGTTGCCCGGGTAGCTGGACTCTACCAGTAGTTCTCTGACTTTGTTTTAGCTGTAGGAAAGGTTCTTCTTTCTAAAACAGGAACGCCCAGTATGTAGAGATGAAGGCAAAGCTATTCGGTTTGCAGTGAGGTGGGCTCCTCACTGTTCCCTCTCCAGCAGTGCCTCTGCAAGTGCCCCCCACAGGACACAAGACTGAGGATCATGCCTCAAAGGCCACTGGGACCAATGATCTTTACGAATCCTTCCAGACTCTGCAAGTCTGTGCATTTTCCGTATCACTGAAAGCACTCCCTTCCATTTTATAAACTACTCTTGGCGAAATGGACTTTTCGTGTTCTATAATGAATATATATATTTTTTACTTTCCAATCTACTTAATACATGTGATATAGATATATCATATACAGAAGTGTTATCTTTTCCCCCTTTTTTGTTTTTAAGCAATTTCCTAGGAAGGTAATCATCTTTCACCACAGGGGTGGATATATTCAAAAAGTCCAATAAAACTATATAAATTTTCCCTCGAAAGTTGTTTTTTTTCTTTTTTTTGTGGCTCACAGTTCTAAGCTTCAGGGTCAGTGTGTACAGAGAAATCCTCTTGAAAATGTCGTCATCTAGTTTCTGGCTATCACAGCGAGCTTAAATTAGAAACTGCAATAAACCTGGGAGAATGAAAGAGAAAATAATAAAAATGCCAAGTGTTTTAGACTGTAAGTCTGGTCCTGGATTTAGTAGAAAAGAGAGGGCTCACAGTCATTGGGCCATCTATTAATTTTTCCAGGGATTGAAAATGCCTAAAAATGAGGGCTTAAAAGGATTAAGTGGCCTTTTAAAAGGTATAATACAAGCCTTTTCTAGTTTGAGAAATAAAATTCAGATTATGACTTTTGGAGGTCATGCAGGAAAAAAAAAAAGGATAGAATGTGTTTGCATAAAAAGATTGTAAGGACAGAAGGGCTTTCGTGGCATCAAGAGCAGTGAGTTGTCACAGTAAGATGGGTAAGTAAATTCAGAGGACTAATATTTTCTTCCAGCTACACGCATAAGAGTAGGGGCATGAAGAGAAAAGAA